CCGCCGCCCCTCACGGCCGCCGCGGCCCCCGCGCCCCGCCAGCGCTGCCGCCGCGAAAACCTGGATCTGGCATCGCCTCCGCGGGACCTGCGGCCTCTGGGCCCCCCGCCCGCGGCCTGGAGGAGGGGAAGGGGCTGCGGGGCGCTGCGCCCGCGGAGCCAGGGGGCCTTTTCCCGATCTTTCCCCGCGTTCCTCGGCGGTGCTGGAAGAGCCCGGCCGCTGCCAGAGCAAGGGCTGGCACTCCTGGGTCTGAAATCCCAGGCTGGCACGGCCCAGGTGGTGGCTGCCATCGTGACTGACCTGGGGGAGCAGCGCCGGCAGCCTGCCCGTGCCAGCGGGGTGGGGTCTGCGGGGGGGCTGCCCGCGTGTACCCCGACATAGAGGGCACGCACAGGCACAAACACCCCGCCTCGCCTTCTTAACAAACAAAATGTCCCTGTCCACAACTTGTCACAGCAGCACACGGGCCGTTTTTTTCCATTGAATATTCCAAACTGTATCAGCTGAACCAGAAAATGAAGCTGTCCAAACAGCTCATGATAATGTTTAATCTGAACGTGATAACATATCACCACAACAACAAATCTCAAAAAGAAACCGTATCCTTGTTCCTTCATTTACCTCCATCTTAGGTCCTAAAATGAAACTTCAAGCTAGACAACCTTATAATTGTTCCTTCTTGCTACAAATCTCTTGCCTTGTTAACTGGCATCTCAATGCAAAAGCAGCTGTAAAGCACCTGGCTCCTCCTAAACTTCCACTGGGTAGAAACCACCTGCACAACTCAAACGTGATCCTTGATACACTGAGGCACAAGAGCACTAGAAAAAGGATAGGCATGACTCTGAAATCCCGACATACTTTCAGCTTTTATCTCCAAATATTATTATTCCCCCATACTTCCAAAGATGGATTACTTAAAAATTAGTATTTTGATAGCTACATATGTGTGTGAAATCCTGGTCTCAACTGAAAACAAAGAGAAACTGCCATCAACTTCAATCAAACAAAACAGCATTTTAATCTAAAAAGTCTTGAGATGCACATGGTGGCAAAAAAGAAACTGGGTTTTACAAGCAGATGGATTTAGTTTAGTTTTTTTTTTTTCAGTGACTCTCTTTTAATGGTTGGAAGTGCTGAAAGTGGTACTGTCTACTTTGAGCACACACCAGAGGAAGGTGAAAAGGGCAGGACCCAGAAAAGAAACAGGTACTGCTCCACCTGTGGTTGGGTACCTGGAGTTTTCAGGAGATTCTGGAATTCGAGTGCCAGATATGTGGGTTTATGGTACTCCTTGATCTAGGCTCTGGAAGCTGTTTTTATCTTCCTTCTTAAATAGGTGGGGGAAGTGGTGGTGGGGAGGAAGGCAACACAAATAAAAATTGACAGGATCTGCCAGTCTGAAATATGCATTTTTTAAGCATTACTGAGCTGCATTTTTTAGGACAGACTATTTTTTTTTCTATTGATATTTTCCTGCCTGAAGAGGCAAAAAGCACCTGAGATACAGATAGGTTTAGAAGCCCAATTCAGGATGACTGCTGTTTTTGGAGGCTGTCAGACACAGGATATATGATGAACACCTTTTGTGAAGAGCAGTCATGTTTGCTCCCTGGCACAGCACTGTGAGGGCTCAAAACTGAACTGTCTTGGTTAGAAATCACTCCCTGGGTCTGAATTTTCATAGTTCTTCAGTGTCAGAAGCCATAATTTATGATGCACAAGATTTGTGTAGCCATATTTATTTCCTATGTAAATACCTCAGTTTGAGACCTAGGTCCCGAATCTGGCTAGTGTCAATCAGAACTAGGAGCTAAATCTGCCTTGTTTCTTCCCCTTCTCTCCTCAGCAGTTTTCTTCCTGCACGTACTAACATTGGGATTTTTGGTGCAGATTTGTTCCCAGCTTTAAAACGGCTCAGTGCCAATAAATAGAATTTGACAGGATCCTGGTATATCCTGCTTTTACCTTTCTCCAAAAGAGGGAAAGTGTTTCTCATTTCCTCTCTCCCCCTCGAAAAACCCCATGACCCCTTTGGGTCTCTTCCTCCTGAGAAAAGATCACACAGTTCAAGAATGACACGCGCAAGCAACCTGTGCCCAGAAAGAACTTCTGGCTGTAATTATTATATTCCAAACCCTCCTTTTGCTTTTCCCAAACACAGCACTTATCCTGACATAATCGAACTACAAAATCCTAGAAGCAATAATAAACACAAGAGAAATTTTCTCCCCCTTGGGGGACAGCTTTTTTTTTTTTTCTAGAGAGAAATCACAGCTATCACATGAATATGTCTCCTCTGCACACAGATAAATCTAAAACTCTATAAAAGGTTTCAGCAGTGCTGCTTCACCAAACCAGCTTCTAGTACAAGTTGTACATGGGAATAAAAACAAAATGCCAGACAAAGGCAAAGAGACCCTTCCTCCTCTTCCCCTCTCTTCCCAGGCAACCAACGTGGGATCCTCCTCGAGTTCCTAGTCCTCCTGAAAATGAGGTATTTCATGTTGCCTCTGCTCCTTCAGATCAGGCAACATATGTGTACATACATACATATATTTATATATGCACATATATATAAATATAAATACACACTGAGTGGGTAAGTGTGTGCAAAAATGAGATTCATCTTCTACTTCATGCTCAAGCTTGGTGCTGTCCCATCATGAAACCAGGCCATACATCATAAGCCCTCGTGGAGGGAAACCAGAAACACCCTTATTTCCTTTTTCCCTTTGTGAGTTCCCACCTCATGTTGCACTGTTTGTGAGCCTCAGGCTGAATGCTGAGGAGCCCAAGTTGCTTGTGTGAGGCCATGTTAGCATTCTTGTACGGAAGAGGATTGACAGACCAGCTGAAGCCAAGTTCAAGCAAACAGCCACACTGGGTGGCCACCCCTGCCACGAAGTCAGTTTTGTTTCTCATGCCTATTCTGTTTGCGGCAAGGAGGGACAAAAACCTGGTGAGAATTAACAGGGAGATCCTACAGATGCAGCTCGAGAGACCTGGTTGTTCCTTGCCCCTCCAGTCCAGAGCAGGACTGATGCAGAGCTTTTTCTTGCAAACATGAGGTAGAGGTGGAGAAAGTTTCTCTACAGAAACCCTGCACACCCTTTGCAGACCATCTTCCCTTTACCCAGCCTCTATTGTGGCTTTGGTTCCGTTTCTCAAAAAAAGAGCAAATGGAAAGACGGAGGTAATTAAAAGCATAGGGGGGATCTAAGCAACTGGTAAAGAGATTCTTCCTGCTTGACACTCTTCCTGCCTCAGGGTCTCAACTCTCTGCTGACACCGTCCCCAAGTATGGGCACTGCACTAGGTGGGTAACACCGTAGTGACCTGACCTGCTTCTCTGCACTGGCCTCTCTTTTTCATGTAGCCCATCACTGCGAATCCGGATATGCAACTCACCAGCACTTGTGGTTTTTACTCCACCTCATCATCAAACTAGGGTCTGAAAAGAGAAAAATAAATCGCTATTTGCATAGGTATTCAAGAAAAATAATTCTTTCTCTTTGGTAAGTTTGTCTCTCTGCAGATGTCAAATATTAACACAAAAGTACACACTCTGTGGAAGGCTACATTTGGAGTTTTATAAGCTACATGAACAAGGAACCACAAAAATTGTGGCTCTGTCTGTATTAAAAACACTGAGTAAGAGTCCAGAAAATACAGAGCACATACTTTGCAGAGAAGTGAATGTTATGCTAAAAAAATCTAACCTTCATCCTTTTGTTTAAACCCATGACATTAAAAAAGTCATTAAAAGAATTTTGAGAGGAGCTCATCTGTTTTGAGAAGCAGGATGGGAAAGATGCCAGAGAAGGTGAGGTATGCATTTCCACAGTGACTGGGGACCTGATCCTGAATCACCTTCACATCCATGGATTAAGGACAAATTCACTTAGGCAGAAGAGGGTCAGGCAATGCTAAGGGGCATGGCCATGCTCTGAGTAGTTCCTTGGCTTCCTGACACAGTTTACTGTTCCCATTCCCATGCCATACTCCTTTACTTGGCAGCTGTCACCATGTAACTCACCTGATAAACCAACTTATCCCTTGCCTACTCCTCTCCCACAAACCACAACCTGCCTCATTTCTGTGCAGCACAGACAATCAGCAAAAGGGAGAAAGGAGGTGAAGCGATTTTTGAGAAGACTGTGAACTAAATGTAATGGAGTCTGAAGAGAAAGAAAAGTTTTCCAGAGAAAAGCCGCAGGCACCAGCCCACAGAAATGACAGTGATAGCCTTTTGCCCCGAGAAAGCATTTGTGAAGGAAAGGATTAGCTCTAAGCAGGAGGCAGATGCTCCTGGGGAAGCCTGCATGGAAAAGCATTAGGTAAAAAGCAGATTTGCAGTATGACTGCACTAAAGAAAGAGGGCAATCCTCTTTCATTCAAGCTAGTTATTCCTTATCCAAGCTAGTTATTCCTCATCCATATCCTGCAAGAAAGCAGAGGGAACAAGGAACTTCTGCTATGTCCATTGCTATCAGCTCAGGGTTTCCCTTTAGATTCTTATTGGTAAAATAATTCCGGTGTTTATTACTTGTCTTTTATAACTAGACATTCCTTATCTATGGAGACTCGCATGGCAGCGCTCCACACATGTCCACCTGTTGGTACCAGAGGCAGAAGCTGCTGATTGAAACTAACATAAATCCAGCAAGGTCCCAATAGCATTTAAAAGACTAAGTAACCTCCTGTGGTTTAAATATTCTTACATATTACAATGAAATAACATTGTTAAAATGACGTGGATGCTTTTGCAATAAGCAAAAGGAAAACCTCGTTTGATGAATTTGCAAGACTGTTACAGGATATCTTACATTTTTGGCAAAACAGGAGGCACTTTTCTGACAATATCCCAATTTATGGAGAATTTCACCTGGCTGGACGCTCCAAGGGCACTTTCCCCTCTTCTTCCCCTGCAGCCCCCCCACCTTCCCAACCGAGCAAAGTAATACATTCCCATTTTAAGGCAGTGGGAGATTAGTTCTAATCAGATGTTTAGGAGAGTCCTCAGGATTAAACAGATTTAAATAAAGCCAGGCAGAACATGCTAATATTGCCTTAATTTATAAGAGAATTCATCAATAAATAGTCAGCTAGAATTATAGCTAAGTTACCATGTTCAAAAAATGGGGAAAGTCTGTACAGGAGACATGTCCTGGATTCTCTGCTACATGCTGACTTGCAGAGTGGTAACAGCAAAGCCAAATCATTTGTCTGCAGCTTATAAAGGGTTTTGTCTGTCATATAAAATTTTACATTTAATAGTAAATGCTCAGGCTGATTATCATGATTTCCCTATTTGGACAGGAATAAAAAACTGGAAAGAAAACCAACTTGTGAGACACTGAACATATGTGAGATGTGCCTTAACCTCACCTTTAACTCCGAGGCACACGCCTGAGCAAAACACTCACAGTCACAGCATGCCTGCCTCCACCCCTAGTCATGACAACATTCTGCCGAGCTAGACTGTCTCAACATTCACCACAAACACATCTGACCTGTGATTTTTGTTTGTATTACCCCTTTGCCTTTATATAAATGTTGAGATACTTTTTAGTTTCTTCATTATTGTTTTAACTCCTCCACTTGAGAAATTAAGCTTTAGCTATCCCAGCAAATGATTGATTTTCAAAAAAAAAAAAAAAAGAAGAACGTCTTTACATAGTTAAGTTACTGGCATTCAAACTCAAAGTTATGCTCTAATTCTTATGTGTGCCTGCATGGTCAATGGTATCCCTTAACAGAAAATTCTTACAAATAAAGAAGATCCACTTTAACATGAATCAAGGAATTCTGTAATTGCTTCCTAGCTCTGTTTAAAGATCCCAATATGTAACTACACACAAGAGCAACCAGGAAAAATTGGCTTCTGGAAATAATGTTGCCAATATGTGGGTAGCCTCATGCACTCACACCCTGATTTATATCAATAATATTTAGCACAGAAACACAGCTTTTGCTTGACTGCATGACTATCAAATCCAGATAAAATATCAAAACTGACTGAATAAACAACAACACAGTATTTTTCTCCTCATCCATCTACTTTTTGAACCTATACATCTGCTTGTAACAAATACCTGTTGAGCTATGGTCCGCTTGGCCTTTTGTGACATAGATCTTAAGTTTCCTATAGGTATTGCTGTGCTATATTTGTGCAAAGCTTTGATAACTTTGGATTAAACAGCTCTCACATGTTTGCTCATAATTAAATAGACATAGCTTGTTGACCCACGCGGTCCTTTCCAAAACCAGGTTTATGTTGCAATGTTGTAAACTTCCACGCTTTCATGGCATGAATTTATTTATTTCTCTGGACAGATAAAATGGTAGATATGAAGACACAGCAGATACATTA